ACAGTTGATGCAACAATACATGCTCAACCCCAACAATCCCAGCAAGGCCAGGATCCTGCTCTGTGGGGTCCCAGGGTTTCGGAGGCTTGGGGGGGGGGGAAACCCTCTCCTTACGGGTTTAGAGTTTAGGGGTTTTGGGGTTTAGGGGTTTTGGGGTTTAGGGGTTTAGGGTTTCGGGGTTTAGGGTTTGAGGGTTTAAGGTTTAGGGTTTAGGGTCTCTCCTTCGGATACTGGGTTTCCTCCTTGACCTTTTGCTTTCAGGAATCTTCAAGCAGATGATGAGGGCCTTGAGAAGGGGCTTTGATCTTCACAAGCAGATGATGAGGGGTTGGAGAAGGGGCTTTGAAGTTACGTTCAATGCCCAGGTTGAGCAGAAGTTAGGGAGCTCTGACGTCGAGAAGATGAGACGTGAGAAAGTCCGACTGCCCTCACTTGGGAGTCAGGATTAGGGGACCCTTGGGGATATAGACCCTCTGAGTAAGGTCCCTTTCAAGAGCGCAAAACTCGCAAGACACGGGACCGGGGAGGACTTAACTGCCCTAGCTTGGCTGCCGGTGACTTCTTGCGGCCCAGCCGCGGCATCACGACGTCCACGGAGTACTCCTGCTAGCAGCTGCTAGCAGTCTTAGAGGTCGGGTTTGAGGGATAGGGCCCAGGGCTGCGATGCAAGGGAAGCAAGGCCCTTCACAGCCCAAATCAGGCCTTGTTACGGAGAGGTCCAAACACAGGCTTTAAGATCCTACACCTTCGGGCCTGGAGTGGGGCTACCTTTCACAGGAATCCTGGACTCACGGCTTCAGATTTCATAAGGGGCTTCAATGAAGATTGGGGCTTCGGGTTCGGGGTTACTTTAACGGTGTCGAAACTAAGCTGCCTAGATGAAGGATCCAGCACTCCTCGGGGCTGGAGCGCAGCAGACTCAATGCACCAAGGAAACTCCAAAAAAGTTCGGTTGGGAGACTTTACGCTTTACCTGCAACCGAAAAGACCTACCTTTTTCAGAAACTATATATAGAGACCATATTGAGGAACCCTAAAACGGGTAGGTCTTCTGGGTTACAGGTAGGGCTTAGGTCTCCCCTACCTGAAGACTCTTTGTGTTGGCACACCTTCGCTTGCAAGCCACAGAGTTTTTTGCTTCGTGGACCGATCTGAGGGTCCCCTTTGCAGAGCCTAGGAACCCTTCGGCTTCAGAAGCCCTACACAGGAAGCATCCTTCAGTTTAGGGTCTAGGGTTTAGGGCAGCTATAGTACGGGGGCTCTTAATAAGAGAGGCGTAAAGAAGGGACCCCGGTAGGGATCCTTACTGCGGGCACCCTGAATGACAGGCCGGATCCTGTTTCAAACGGGCACGCTCGATGACAGCAGGCACCCTTGCCCATAGAAGGGATGCATCATAAGGGATCCAAAACCCTCAACCCTAAACCCTAAACCCTATTACAGCCCGAAACCCTAACCAGTTAACTAAGGGACATTGATAGCTCCTCAGGGACCGCCATGGCAGCGGAGAGAGCACGCCTTGGCTCTCTTGTTTGAAGGTCTCTGGGGTAGCCCTAAACCCTAAACCTTAAACCCTAAACCCTAGACCCAAAATGAAGGCGTAGGGGTTTGAAAAGGGGTTTTGTGTCCTGGGGGTTTTGGGTTCAAGGGTTCCGGGTTTGGGTGTTGAAAGGTTTGAGGTCTTGGCAGTCTTAGGGAAGAAGAGTCAAGCGCGTCAACCTCTACGATTACGCGGCTGATGAGCGCGAGGGGTTTTTGGTTTAAGCCTCCTGGTTCGGCATAAGGCTTAGGGGTTTGGGCTTTGGGGAGCACACCAAAGCCAGGCCCTAGGCCCCTAAACACTAAACCCTACACCCCAAAAACCCAGGCCGAGCCGCATCCGCGAGAGCCCCAGGTCGATCGGCCAGCGCGCGCGAGCTGCGGGCTGCGGGTCCTGGGGGGCCCGGGGTTAAGGGTTTTGGGGTTTGGGGTTTACGGTTTTGGGTTTCGGGTTTAGGGTTTTGGGGTTTAGGGTTTAGTTTGGGTTTAGGGTTTAGCGTTTGGGGCTTAACAGGGCTTCAAGAGGGGTCCAGAAGCAGCTTCCCTGGGTATCGAATGCTTGCAGGACGAACTCGCTTCTCTGCTGTCATTGACGACAAGATCGACGACTCCTGTGGCTGCTCCTGCTGCTGCGTTGTGGCGGAAGTTGTTGGTTGTACCTTCTCTTCCTGCTGCCTCTTCCCCAAACCCTAAAGCCCTACGCCCCAAAAACTCTACCAATTTCCGGCTCGGTTGAAGGCTTGCGAGCGCCTGTAGCCCTGCTAGCTCCAGCAGGGGAAGGTCAGCTTCGCGCGAGGGCAGGCGCTCCTGGCCAGTGCTGTTTGTGCCTTTCTTTACGTGCTGCTGAGAGGGCTCGATAAGGGCTAGCATAAGCAATCTATACGGGTTGGTATACATAGGGTCTCTATAACTAGCTTCGACTAGGCTTCTAAAAGGAAGTTTGGGTAAGGATGTCTACAAGGGCTGCTTTGGTAGGTTCCTGAAAAGGGCTCGAGAAGGGATTGGGCTTAGAGGCTTAGAGCTTTTGGGTCCTAGGACTAAACGGTGATGAGTAGCCTGAGTCACTCAACAGCTCATGCTTCAACGAGCTTGGGGGCTGTGGTTGTTATGTTTACTGGACTCAGATTTGGATCGCGACTCGCAGCCGCCCTACTCCCTCAAAAGAGCCTCAAACCAGAAACAACTGACAAGGAGACCCTGAACTCTAAACCGCAAGACTCGAAACCCCAAAGTTTCCACTACTGCCGATTTGAACAGTGTTGTGACATGACATCTAAATAAGGAAGCTTGCTTACAAAACAGATTCATGGCAGCCGGTGGTGTTCTATACAGAGCTTGCACTCAAAGCATGAAACCCTCGCTCCTAAAGCCTCAGCCCTTAACCCGCAGCCCTCAACCCCAAACCCAGGCACCGGCGGCCTCCGCGCGAAGAAGCAGAGCAGTGAAGGCGGCTTCCGGGCAGGCCTCTGCCAACAAGGGCTCTTCCTGTTCTCAGGATTTTTGTCGTGGTTGCTATCATGAGGAACCAAGGCGATCCCTGGTAAGGTATGGTGGCTTACACCAGGCTCCTCAACAAGATCCCTAACGTAAGCTGTGAACGTCGAAGTGTGAGGGGGGTCCCGGGGGGCAGCATAAGCATCTGTCCATCGTTGTGAACTTTAAGTGCTCCAGCCTCCGACCTCAGGGAAAGCCCTTGCCAAGAGATGCGAAGTACAGATGCCCAACCCCGCAAATCCCTAAACCGCAGGAGATTCATCGAATCAGGAGTGCGATTGATCCTGTCGCCTTGGCTCGATTTGGGACTGTGGTTTTGAAGTTTGTAGCGGCGGGATTGGGCGTGATCTCTCTCCAAGTCGTGGGGATCAGATTCAGATATGGCAGGGCAGTGCACCCGCTGACAGCAGCTACACGCCGTCCCTTCTGCTACTGCTGCTGGTGGGAAGTATTGTCAAGGAAGTAAAGACATTCAGAGTGCGGAACAGATTTGCGTGCAGAGTACGAACATCTACAACGTCAATGTCAAATGGACCATCATTACCTATCGAAATGAGAGCCTCAAACCCCGCTTCAGCAGGCCTCTCTGAGAAAGTCAAGGTTTGCGTAGGAAATCGAATTCAGCCAGAGAAATGCCTGGCTAGCTCACCATCAAGGATGCCACGGGCAAGGTGCGACCACCAACTGCTACGCCACAGAAATGCCTAACAAGGCAAGGTTGCATATGTTGTCTCGTTTGTGGCATAGTAGTGCCATGCCAGATTCCGGTAGTCGGTGAAGAAGCCCACACGTATGTACCTCGGATATTACGCTCTCTTTTCGGGCCCACAAGGGCCTCCGGCTCGGAAGAGCCAAGGAGTCGACTCCGAACGCGGAAGCCTTCGCGAACCCAGCTGATTCTAGCCGAACCCCAAAAGCTTGAGAAAGGTTTAGGGCTCAGGGTTTTGGGTTTAGGGTTCAGTGATCCCAAAAATCCTAAATTCCCAACAAAATCCTTGAACCCTAAGCCCGGGTGGCTGCTGCAACCAGCCGAGATCTTCTCCCATGTGTTGATCGCAGGGGTCGGCCTCCTGAGGGGAGCCGAAGCTTCGATGCGGCGTTCCATCATGGCCGCAGAGAGCCGGTGTAAGCTTGGGGGGCTTGGGATTTCGGGTTTTGGGTTTAGGGCTCTTTTTGGTTTAGGGTGTAGGGTGTAGGGTTTTGGGTTTAGGGTTTCGGGTTGGAGGTTTGGGGTTTAGTGGGCCATTAGATGGTTTGCTGATGGTGCTGGAGGCACCTTGTCACCTGCTCATGTGGTTTTGTCCGTCAGAAAGCCTGCGCCCTGCCCGAAAAGGTTGACACGGGGCATGGGGCACGACATGTCACACGGATGAGGGCAGAGGCACACCGACATCTCTGCTAGAACTACTATGTCCTAGCCTGTTTGAAGTCAGACCTCCGGTTGCAAGAAGTTCGTATGGTGATGATTCTTGGCTCATGGACGGAAGCAGCCCGACCCTGGCAGTAGGCTGAAATGATCCGCAGGATCCGCTCTCGCTTCGATGTCTCCAAACCAAAGCCAAGCTCAAGGCTCGGAGGTTTCGAGCTTCTAGCTTAGTGCTTAAGGCCGAGGCTAGCTCCCAACCTAAAACCAAAACTCGAAAACCTTGTCGGTCCCTGATAAGACCCCTAACCCCAAGACCCCTAAACCAAAAAACCCCTGAATCACCTTCCCGCAGACACCTCATCCAGACGACCCACCACTGCCAGACACTGGAGGACAAAGAGGCGGCCCTGGGCTAGAAATCACGAGGGCTTCTTGTTACAACCGGCATTATAACGGTCTTGCAGCGGTCTTCTCTCAGGGGCCTTATAAGGTGCTAAAAAAATTTATGTGAAATTGATGGATGGTTAATGTACCTGATTGATACTGATCTAATAGCTGCATTGTAAGCCTTCCCAAGGTTCAGGGCTCGGGTGCCCCTAAACCCTAAACCCTAAACCAGAACACTTTGAGTTCGAGGGCTTGGGTCCCAGGCGCTCGGGCTTCGATTTTGAACGCACTTCTGCCTTGCTGTCACAAGATTCGAGAGCTTCATTCCAGCGTTGCTGGTCCGACCCTTGTTGAAGTTTTAGGATTCAGGCACCAAGTGGAGACTTAGAGTTCGGGCGTGTTGCTGACATGGCTGCACGACCCTTTTCGGATCTTCATATGGCCGGTGCGGGCAAGTTGGGGCCCTGTCACCTCCGGCAGACTCGGGCGCAGTGACGAGCAGGGCGGTCTGAGGGCACTGCTTGCTGGTTGAGAAACCTTGAAGTTTACTCTTTAAACTTCAAGGTTTCCGGGTTTGCGAAAGCAACAACAAGCTTTCGACCAGCAATGTCTGGAGACAGGTCCCGACGAGGCATGCAGAGGGGTCGAAAAGCGAGGATTTGGTGTTTAAGACTACTTCATAACCCTGATGTGGTCGTCAAGGTAGTATGATGCTAGTATCGCATGAGTATGCTTGTAGCTTGCTGCACATTTATATCGACAACATCGTCAATGTCCCAGCTTCCGGCCCGGGACGTCTAGCCTTGCACCAGTCGGGCCTTACATCCTATGTGTTGTAAACCCAGCAGAGAAAGGATGCAAACGCACAAAGCCCGGTGGTTACGATCCAGACCTCAATAGCTTTGTGGTTAAGTCCGGCAATGGACAAAATTCAGAAGACTGTGGGTCCTCAAGGTTTAGCACCAAATCAGAGGCCACGATGCGACGACACAGATCATCGTCGTCATGCAGTGGCTCAAGTGCCCACGGTGATCCAATTCCCCAATCGCTTTGTGGTCTGGAAGGCTGCTGAATGAAACTAACTGGTACTGTCCGACATTCGCCATGGTGCATGCCATGCGCACTCGAGGACTGTCCACACGAGAGCATGCCTTGAGAAAAATTCGGTGAATCCTTGACCTTGCTTGAACCCTCAATATAAAGTTCCGATGCAAGTCTGACAGCAGGACGAAGGGCAGAAACAAGAGGCACGACGTACAGCGAGATTTTAAGGCATGTGCTTTATGTAGGTATTCAATCTGTGGGGTGAGTACGTGTGCTATGTGCTATAGCTCTCTAAATATTATGCTGTTTCGTGGTTCGAAAAGAGGTAGTACCAGAGCTTCGTAATGTTTGTGTTTTAAATGGGGTGCGTCTTACAACTTCTCTTGCATTCAAAACAAGCCAAAGCCAAGCAGAAAGAAACGCTTCACGCCTCCTGAAACAACACAACGCAGCTGGTGATTGAGTGCTCGTTATAAGGCTTATGGGATCTTTAGGATGTTGCCATTTGATGGACCGACCTCGGGTGTTAGAATTGCTGAAGCTTCAAGTGGAAGGTTGCAGATGGTTTCAGGACGTTTCTAGGCTCAAAGCTCACCAGGAGTATGGTCGGACAGAAACATGTTTTATTTGGTATGTTTTCAATCGCGGCTATGTCACCCGTAAGCAAACATGTCAACATGGTGTGCAACACTGACAGCAAGCTGAAGCAGTCGGGCCAAGTGCCAAGCGTCACGTAGCATGTGCAGCATCATGGCGGCGCCGTCTCGTCAGCATCGCGTCGCCGCAGTCGCCCGGTGCACCCAGGTTCGTCGAGCCCAAACGCCCCTGTCGTCGCCCGCTCAACCATGCCCACCCGCTCGCCCGCCGCCGCTCGTCGCCGCCTCGCCCGCCGTCGTCGTCACTGCTCCCGCCGCTGCGTTGTCGTCGCCGTGTCATCGCCACCGCGTCGTCGCCGTCCCAGCCGCGCCAGTCGTCCGAGCCGCCGCCGTCCGAGCCGAGCCGCGCCAGTCGTCCGAGCCGAAGCCGACCATCGAGCGTTCGAGCGTCGCCGCCGAGCTCCCGCTTCCCGTCGTCCTCGTCGCGCGCCCCCGATCGCCGCTCGTCGTCCGTGCGTCGTCGCCACCACCGTTGTTGCCGTCGTCGGGCGTCGTCGCCACCGTCATCGCTGTCTTCGCCGTCCTCGTCGCCGCCGTCATCGTCAACACTCTCGGTCACGGGTCGCGCTGCCGTTGTGGTCGTCCGTGTGGTGTCTCCGTCGTCGTCTCCGTCCTCGGCGTCGCCGCCGCTGTGGTCGCTGCTATCGGTCGCCGGTTGTCATCGTCTGGTCGTCACCGTCGTCGTCCGCCGCCCGTTGCCGCCGTTGGTCCTCGCTCACGCTGCCTATTCGCACCCACCATCCTCGCCGTCGTCGTTGATCCTCGCCTCTACATCTTCACCTCTATCCTCACCCGTCGTCGTGCT